CGACGGCTCACAGGGCCACATCCTCTCCCACGCGTCGCACGGGAGCACGTCGGAGAGCACGGTGGGTGGGCACGCGTCGGACGGCACCCTGGGCGGACACGCGTCGCCGACGTCGATGAGCGAGGAGAAGCTGGAAGGCGGCGGCGTGGTCGTGCTGCAGAGCCGCGGCCCGAGTCAGGACCAGCAACGGCGGGCGAGCGTCGAGCACCGGCGCACGCCGAGCTACCCACCGACGCCGACACCGGACGTAACCCCGCCCGCCGTGCCCGCGGCGACCGTGACGCGCTCGGCAACACGCAATAAGACGCCGCGCAAGCCCGTGCCCTCGTACATCGCCGCGGAGGAGTCGATGCCGCCCTCGCCGGTGTCACCTACCACGTCGAACGGGCATGCCACGTCGACTGGACACGCCGCGTTGAATGGGCCTGCACCAGCTCTCGTCCACCGCTCGTCCGACGGTTCCGTGAACGCAGCAGACACCACCCCCGTCAGCGCCAAGTCCGCGCGGCGCAAGAGCACGCAGTCCGGCCGTGGTGGCGAGCGCTCGTCAGGACGTGGCGGCGAGCGCTCCTCGGGGAAGGGAGATCGCGTGCGCGCGGAACAGGAGCGCGTCGGGCACTATGCCGTGGGGCGGGCGGGCACGCTCGACAACGTGCGGCCCGATCTGAAGAACAAGAATAGCTGGGACGACCGACCAATGCACTACCTGATTCCGGATATGCCACCGAGCGCGCCACAGTAGGGTCCTGGGTTCGGTGGTGGACCCACGGGTGACGAATCCGGTTCAACGCATCCCAACGATTTCGTCAGACACCGCACCTAGCACGTCTACTCTTTCTACCCTTATATCTCTAATGATATATATGCCTGATCTTGTCGCGCGCGCCCTATGGCGTCGCGCTGTTGATGAACGCTCGTCCGTACATTTATTCGCTACGAACACGCTTTGTTATGCTCACTTCCCTCTGTTATGCTTACTTCTACATCCATTGTATACTAACGACCCAAAAGCTATCGATTGGTCCGGACTTGTATTCGTAGCTAGCTGATGTGAATAATGAGTGCCCCTAGTCGGGCGGAAACATCAATGTCTTCCCAGCCTTAGGATGTCTTCCCAGCTTTAGAGCATCTCCTCAGACTTAAGATAGCCCCAGCACATCGTCCTCAGCAGCTCTAGACCTCTCTAGACCCCATCTTCCGATGTGGAGAGATACGTGGTAAGCGGCCATCGAGAACAACCCAGGTCAGATGCATTGAATCTGTATTCAACAGGGTATATAGGTCTCGAAACCAGTCGAGCATGTCCAAAGTCCTGTGGGGTAATAACATACAAAGCAAGGAGACGATGAGGTATATGCGTTATGCTAGAGTTGTGTATGAAATTCGTTCATGAGACGCACGGAATCGTCACCGACCGCGACCTGAGCGAAGGTGACACGGGCAGCGGGACAGACGCCGTCGATCGAGGGGACGTAGGCGGTACCCCTGAGCTAGGGAACGTAGACGGCAGTCCTGGAGGGCGACAGCGGCAACGGGACTGACAGCATCAGCGGCGACGGCGTCCGCAGGGCATCCTTCGAAGCAGCAACTGACACGCCGCGGTAGAACAGGTCAACGCTCGGGGCGGTGCGCGACGACGCAGGGACCCTGCTCGAACCCACGTTAGCGCACGATTTCGAGCTTGCGCGCGACTCATAGCCGGCATCAAGGTCTACGAGATGAGGGTCAGTATCAGATGTGTTGCGCTCTGGTGTAAAGCACATACCCTTCGACGCGACGTCCTTGTAGGAGAATGCGGCGTTTTTGGGTGAGGCAGGAAGCCTGGGCGGGCCAGCTGACAACACAGCAGGTGCAGAGTACGTCTGAGACAGAGGTCTCGCACGGCGAGCGGACCTAACGTTCATGCCAGCAGACGCGATGGACATGCTAGCAGACGGTCCCGACACGCTCGCAGTCGCGCGCGATATGCTAGCAGAGCCGAACGACGCGCCAGCAGGCGCCGACGGCTCACGCGCAGGCATCTTGGGGAGGGCAGGGGAGGTTGGCTTGCTACCAGCGGCGTTCGTTGCAGGAGATTTGGGCGAGGCCGGAGACTTGCACGATGCTGCGGGCGACTTGGCCTCCGCCACCGCGTCCATCTCCGGGATGCGTCCAGCGGCAAGCCGGATAACGGTCAGAGGTTGGCGATCATAGTAGTCTGCAAAAGAACGGGTCAATGGACCGTGTACGAGACCTTGTCCAAATGACGCACCGAGGCCTCTGTGTTCACCCTCGAGCTGCATAGGCGCGAACCACAGCGGATGCGCATGCGAATCGAGCGACTGCATGTCGTGCGCGTGCATGTCATGCAGATCGTCCTGCACGCGCAGATCATCGAAGGTGGGGAGGAGCATGTCAAAGAGCGCGTCCATAGAGGGTGGGATCTGGGCGTATGATAGCGCGCAGGAAGTGGGTGGTAGTGGAAGGAACTGGATGGACGGTCAAGCGCGTGAGCAAGCAGAGTCGAGTGAGTGAGAGGCGGGCGTTTGACGGACGGACGACTCAGCGACGGTGGAAGTATGGAAAGAGGATAACGGGCATCCCAACCCAACCCACGGACCATTATATGGATCCGGCTGCTCTTTCATGACGAAACAACAGGTCAGAGTCAGACAGAACGCCTCTCAATAGGTCAGTCTCTCTCGCGACTTAGCATTTGTCCTGGAGGGGCTTCTTATCACACGAACAAAGGAGGGTCACATTCTCTTTCTCCTTCTAGGCACGAGTTTGTCAATTTGGAGAATGAGGGGAAGTACGTATGGACGTACCGTGACGGCACGCGTAGACGTACCATGCCTAGATACGTAGACGCGTCGCGTGTAGAAGGATGTGATTGGTGAGCGCGAACGCGCCAATATCGTACGGGAAAACGCGTCCATTGTTCACGGTGCACGCCCACCGCACACGTGCCCATTGTTCCGCCACGCGCCCCGTATAATTAAGCCTAGCGGCGGCGGGACGCGCACAATGTCGAACTCCGACCTCTTCGGATTGATTGCGATAAACGAAGCTTCGTCACATTAACTGGGCGCGTGTAGAGCTGTGCCCATCGGTGTTGACGTCGGTTAATGAAGGGATGGTCAAACATGAAGCCCGAGCACGTTGACGAATTACCTTCAACATCTCTCTAAGTAAGATCCGACAGAAAGCCGCGCCTCACCTGAACGCAAGGCTTCCCCACGCGCCGCCGCGCCAGTCTGCCCACTTCCATGCAAGCTCGAGCGCCCGAAAGTGAAGTGATGCGATGGATACACGAGGAACGGATGGTATGAATACAGACAAGCAATATGCTGGAGAACGTGACCCAGTCGAACAGCTTGCCGACCGACTAGTTGAACAACTTGTTGACCGACGTGTTGCCTTCCGAGTTCTTCTTCAAGACCTGCGAGCGGCGTCAGGCATCCCATCTCATCGTACAGCCCACAGAAAACCAAACGCACCTTCGCCACCGCGAACTCGAAGTCCTCCTGCGTGACATGTTGCCTGCGCTCGCGCAGCGCGTACATGCCAGCCTCCGTGCAGATACCGCGCACCTCGGCGCCGGAGCACTGGCCCATCTTCTCCGCGAGCGAGCGCAGGTTGATGCCTCGTTGCAGGGACATCTGCGAGGGTGAGTATGAGTGAGATTGCGAGGGCGAGTTATAGCGGGAGCGGGTGAAATTGTAAGGGCGGGCGGTGTATATGGACGGGTGACGGAAGGGGAAGCTTGCTTACCTTCCTGGAGTGGATACGCAGAATGGCGACACGGGCCTCGGGCCCTGGTGGCGGGAACTCGATCTTACGGTCGATACGCCCAGGTCGAAGGAGTGCGGAGTCGAGGATATCTGCAGAGCAATGAGCATTTCTGTACCCCGCAAATCCAAATCAAGGTAGACTTACCTATCCGATTTGTGGCCATGATAACCTTGATGTTCTTCGTTGACTCGAACCCATCCAACTGGTTCAGCAACTCCAACATGGTGCGCTGTACCTCAGAGTCACCACCCCCGCCACCACCCTCCCCACGCGAGCTCCCAATCGAGTCGATCTCGTCCATGAAGATGATACTTGGCGCATGCTCCCTCGCCATCACGAACAGCTCGCGCACCATCCGCGAGCCCTCGCCAATGTACTTCTGCACGAGCTCGCTGCCGCTCACGCGAATGAAGCTACAGTCCGTGTGGTGCGCGACGGCGCGCGCCAGGAGCGTCTTGCCCGTGCCGGGCGGGCCGTACAGCAGGACACCCTTTGGTTGCGCGATGCCGAGCGCCTCGAAGAGCTCGGGGTGCTTGACGGGGAGCTCGATGACCTCCTTGATCTCCTTGATTTGTTTGTCGAGGCCACCGACCATCTCGTAGGTGGACTCGGGGACTTTCTCGACCATCATGAGGGAGACGAGCGGGTCGACCTTATTGGGGAGGATCTTGTGGATGGTGTACGAGTCGGAGCGGAGCGCGACGCGCAGGGAGGGAGTTAATGTGTTGACATCAATGTCTCCGTCAATATCGACGACTGAGGGATGTCAGGCGTCGTTAGAAACTTCAAAACAACAAGGGGACGCACTGTATTTGCCCTCAGGCTGCACCTTCACCAACACCTTCGTCTTGCCCATGACCTTGACGACCTCGCCCACATAGCTTCCTGGCTCGTGCAGTAGTTGCAACTCTTCCCTGAGCAAGCGGACTGTATGCCATTGAGCGTCGTTCGTGCACGACTCTGGCCTACGTACCGCGCGCATTCAGTGCATTTCGCTGGGCTTCCAGACGACGCAAGTTCTGCGTTTTCTGGTTGATCAGAAGCTCGGCAGCCTCGATCTTGGTCTGATAGTAGGCCTTGATACCGCCAGGCGCGGTGGGCGGGCGTACGGCGACAGGCATAGTGGGTGTAGAGAACAAGGACGAGGCAAGAGAATGACGCGTCGCGTCACGCGCTATTGACAAGTGTTTGTCCTTTATAACATACCCAGCCAGAGCAACTGGCAAGGTCCAGTAGTCTAGTGGTTATGACATCTGTCTTACATTTGCTAGCACAGAAGGTCCTCGGTTCAATCCCGGGCTGGATCATCCACTGTCCCAACCTGCTCATGTTTTTTGTGATCGCGGCGGCCAAAAGCCATCCCTTATTCTTGCAACGATTCCTCAGTATGCGTGTCACTCGGTGCTGCCCGCCAGGACACCCACACATGCAGTGAGAAGAGAGCAAATCAATAGAGATGAGGTGACACTGTTCATGGGTATAATCGTACACCACATATTATGGTCCCGAGGCCATGTAGGATACAGTCTATTCCACAACGCCCTCCTCCCCAGATATGTCGTAATGCCTTGCAACAAACACGTATAGATTCAACAGCCACCGCGCTCTATGGCCATCCGTCCCCCATGCGCTGCTCTCTGATGGGCAGAGGTAGATACGGCCGTGGGCGCCGACGCGGGCTATGTGTGCTCGACAGGCCGACCTTCCGAATCTTACGCAGTCTGCAGAACGGTCAGATTGCAGGAAAGGTGCACGCTTGAAAGGAAAGATGCAGCGAAACGACGACAACACTCACATTCGGAACCCCCGCCAAGACACCAGGAGCGCGAAGACTCCAGACACACCCGCCATGGCGTAGAACGCGTGCGAGTGGTCCTCCCAGCCGCTCTTCAAGTTCATCCCGAATATTCCAGCGATGAGCGTGCCGATGCCGATCCCAAGAGTGGCGATGGAGACCTGCGAGTCGCGAGCATCAGCATCGCACAAACACGTCCAGGCAAAGAGTGTAAACCCACCTTGAGGTCCAGCGTCAGCAACGCGTTCCGGTTCGAGTCGAGGATGAGTTCGACGATCTCTTGCGTGGATTGGACATTGTTCTGGGCGAGAGGTTACAGGACGTCATAGACGTGTCAGGGAGGAGAGCGCACCTGCATGTTCTGCGCCTCGTTCACAATTTCCTCGACCTGCTTGGAGAAGGACTCGAGGATGAACTCGACCTCCTCGTGGTCCTCTGCCGGACGGGCGTAATTGTTGCGTTTGTCCGTCAGATACATGGCAGCTAGATCCTCGTCTACGGGTATCACCAGTCAGAGGCCTTATGTACCTCAAAAAAGCTTTGGTAACACAAACCTGTGTCAAGGACTTCGTCCAAAGCGTCTTGGACCTGAGGGATTCCCGGTTAGAGTCAAAGTCGAGTAGAATGCACAAATCAGCGACATACCAATTTAGCACGATTCTGGAAGCTGTCTAGCCGGCGTGAGTAGTAGAGCAGACGCTTGAAGCGGTCGTGGTCGATATCATCCTCCAGCTCGGCGAGCAGGGTGCCAACGAGATTGCGGATGAAGACCATCTCGACTTCGAGCGCGCTCAGACATGATAAGAGGATGGATTCGACGGCGCGGAATTCGTAAGGCAGGCCCATGCCCTTGCTGCGAAGGTTGTGCTGGAACGAGGACAGTAAGCACATCAGACCGTTTAGTAGGTAGACGATGAGCGCTCACTTGAAGATGGTATAGGAAGGTAGAGTGTAGGCGGGAGTCGATGGAACCGTACGTATCAAACAGGACGACTGCGTCGGCTTTGACAATAGCGCGCAGGTGGAGTATGTTGATCTGGATGGGAGGGTCAGGTTGAATGGAGCGTTGAGCAGGAGTATACGCGTACAAGAATCGCCTCTTTACGGACCAGGATCGTAGGCACGAGATTGGGTACGCGAGAGTCAATCTTGCGCAGATCTCGTATCTGGGACTCTGGTGAGCATATTCCACGACCTGCACAACACATATCCTCACATTCAACCCATGCTCTGCGCTGAGATCCGACTTCTTGAAGTGCCCGGAGACCGTCGTGACATCGCCTGACGCATAGAATTCAACAAGGCTCCCCAATCATACGAAGGACCCACGCATACCCTGAGCGTCAAGCACCGTACCTGGTCATCGTCAGCCAGCAGTGCAAGTTCAGAGGGCAGCTACGCACATCGCATCTGCAGGTCGGCAGGCTGCCTCCCCTTCATCAGTTTCTCCAGGATCGCCGCCTTCTGCACCTCCGCCTCGGCGTCCCAGGAGTGCTGCTCCTCGTCATGGCGCCCGAGGGACCAGAACTGCCGGGGCCGAATGTGCGCTAGGACGCGGGGGACGGGCTTCTGGGGCTGCCTCTGCGCTCGCAGGCCGACGTGCAGGCCCCGCACCTGCGTCGCTGACCTGGCTTGCACCAGGGACCTCGTCCGCGCTAGCGTATTCGCGGCGGATCCCGCTCGTCCTGCGCCGCCTGGCATGGTCGCCGCGCGCAATGTATGCAGACAGGGTGAGGCGTTCACATTGGCATTCACATATCGTCTGCAGAGGTTGGTCAAGGGAGCATTCATGCGCGTATTATTGCTACCAGCGCGGGATGGAGGACGCGTCCAAAGTGCATGAAAAGTGACGGTGGAGTTCGCCGGCCCGACGCCACCGTGAAATGGCCAAATGTGTACAAATATTTGCTCAATCTTCCAAGTTGACTTTGCTTAAATACTCTGTAGCTTAAGAATTCGGGCTCGTTCTACGCTGTATGGACTCATTGACATAGACGCCCTGTGGATTATGCTATGAGCTGGAAGAGATCCCAGTACCCATCTGGCTCTGCCGAAACTCCTACTGTTCTGTACAGTGCCTTTCCGCACAGATTTGCACAGACTGGCCTTTCATGAGATAAAGGCGATGCCCTGGGCTGTCATTGAGGTGTATGCTACACCTTCTTGGCCATCTATTAGTATAAAGACCAACAAGCGCCGTGACTGACGCCACGAGGGTGGTCACGCCCACGCGATCGCGCCTTGACACTGCCAGTTTCGAGCATTCGCCAGCGCCATTTCTTCCTTCTCCCCGTCACTGCTGGCGACGACGATGAACACCACTCAAGTAGAACGCGCCATTGGGGAGATCTCGGCCAAGCAGCCTGTGCCGGAAATCGACTTTACGCAGCATACGCTCGAAGATGGCAACGTCGTCAGCACACAGGAGAGGGTCATCAAGGATGTCCAGGCGCCGGCGATGCAGACGCCGACGGACGAGCAGTTCTTTGCAGACCGCGGCCAGGATCGCACCAAACCGGACATAGCGTTCCTCAAGAATCACTTCTATCGCGAGGGCCGGCTGACGGAGGAGCAGGCGCTGTGGATTATTGAGCACGGCGCTGCAGTTCTGCGCGAGGAGCCGAATGTGCTCAGCGTAGACGCTCCCATAACCGGTGCGTGTGCACGTACTGGTGCGCCGATTGTGGCTGCTGACGCGGCGTTGCAGTCTGTGGCGATATCCACGGACAATACGTGCGTGACCTCCTCCCCGCTGCTTGTGCGGTAAATGACGAGGGATCCAGTACGACCTTATGAAACTTTTTGAAGTCGGGGGAAGCCCTGCAGACACACGATACCTCTTCCTGGGCGACTACGTCGATCGTGGATACTTCTCGATTGAAGTACGCTATGCCCGTACGCACCGGGACCACCGCTAACCGCGATGGCAGTGCGTACTCTACCTCTGGTCGCTCAAGATCTGGTACCCCGACACTCTGTTCCTCCTCCGCGGCAATCATGAATGTCGCCATCTCACGGACTACTTCACGTTCAAGCTCGAGTGTGCGTTGTCTCAGCGCATATCGCCATCACGCTGATCAGATTCCAGGCAAGCACAAGTACTCGGAGCGCATTTACGATGCGTGCATGGATTCATTCTGTGCTCTCCCGCTCGCTGCGGTCATGAACAAGCAGTTCCTGTGCATTCACGGCGGCCTGTCTCCCGAGCTCAATACCCTCGACGACCTTCGCGAGATTGATCGCTTCAGGGAACCACCTACTCACGGACTCATGTGCGATATTCTTTGGTCCGACCCGGTCGAGGACTTTGGCACGGAAAAGGTCACAGACAATTTCCTGCATAATCACGTCCGAGGCTGCTCTTATTTCTTCACGTGCGTCGGCTCTGCGCTGTCTATGACTAGCTACTAACGCGGCGCAGGTATCAGGCAGCATGTCAGTTCCTCGAGCGCAACAACTTGTTGTCCATCATCCGCGCGCATGAAGCGCAGGACGCGGGGTACCGCATGTACCGCAAGACAAAATCGACCGGTTTCCCTTCCGTTATGACTATCTTCTCCGCCCCCAATTACCTGGACGTCTACAACAACAAGGCCGCTGTGCTCAAGTACGAAAGCAACGTCATGAACATCCGGCAGTTTAACTGCACCCCGCATCCGTATTGGCTGCCGAACTTCATGGACGTGTTCACTTGGAGCTTGCCATTTGTGGGCGAGAAGAGTGCGTGATGAGTCACTTCGATATATCTGTTGTCTTACATGCATGCAGTCACCGACATGTTGGTCGCTGTGCTTAACACCTGCACCAAGGAAGAGCTCGAGGAGAGCGACGAGGAGGTACCCGTCTCTCCAACAGAAGAGAGCGACGCGCGGAAGAAGGTCATCAAGAACAAAATTATGGCTGTCGGTCGGATGGCGCGCGTCTTCGCATTGCTTCGGTAAGACCGACCGCTCTCCTGCTGCATATATGCTGACTAGCCTATTCAGCGAGGAGTCAGAGAAGGTGTCCGAGCTGAAGAACATTTCTGGAACGAGCAAGCTCCCATACGGCACGCTCGCCGCTGGTACGGAAGGCATCAAAGAGGCCATCACTGGTTTCGAAGAAGCGTAAGTTTACGCGTCCCCTCTGCGCCTCACTCAACTAACCCTCGCGCAGACGGAAGTCCGATATCGAGAACGAGCGCCTGCCGCCCGACCTCTACGACGCGGAATCCGAGGAGGGCAAGGCCATCATCTCCGGGTCTCTTCCGCAGACGCCCTCCGAGAACGCCGTGCGCGACCCCTCGACGCCCGTGCCCGCCGACGCGCTCAAGCAGGCGATCTCGGAAGGCGCCACCGCGCCTGGCGGAGCCTCGCCCGTACGCACGCCGTCGAGCCCGGGGACGCCGACGACGGGCACGCCGTACAAGCGCGGGCACGGGCGGCAGGCAAGCTTGGGCACGACGATGACGAGCCCGAGCACGCGGCGGAGGAGCCTGGAGAGCACGATGAGCCTGATTCAAGGCGTGTGGAC